AAAAAAAAAGCAAATGCTCTATGGAGTTCAAAGTTGTGCAGTTACGGTTCAGTTCGTTTCAGGTACGCACCTGTTTGTACTCAGTTGGAAAAGCCCATCCAGCCATGTCGTGATTTATGTCTATCTGCGAAAAATGGTTGCGAAAGCCTCATGATAAAATTTGGTTTTCGATGGCCGGAGCAGCTCGATTGTAAACACTTTCCAACTGAAGGCATTTGCGTTGGAGAGAACAAGACTAGTACACCGCCACCAAACCGGTTCGTAATCACTTTCACGTCGTTGATTAGATATATATTCGAACACTTGTATAGCATGCTTATGTGATTTTGAGTGATCGTATCTTAGTTCTCACTCATTGGTGAATGATTTGGAATGCCCACTCACAATGTCGGCATCGATGCGTTCGCACTTTTCTCTTCCACTGTCCAGTGGAGTACTTGAAGACTGCAGTTTGCCATGTGCCGCCGATAACCAGGTATCATAAATTGTCAAGTTTTTTATTGCTTAAGATTTATTTTTACTTTCTGATCTGATGGTTCTGAATGCGGTTTATTGGTTCGTCTATCCTTTCCGAATTAGTTTCACTTAGTTTACTTTCATATTCCCTTCATTCACAGTATCCTACTCTCTAACTCTTTCACTCGCGTTTTAAACAAATGGTTCTCCCCATTAACAAACAAATCTGTTTCCTTCTTGGTTAACTGACTGTTCCCGACTGCATGGAGTTTTAGTCGTATCAACTTAGGTTCCGGTTTTCTTCGACAAGCGTCATCGTCGTTACTTACGGTTTTGGACTGGTGGTTGGGCTGTGGCATGTTGTGTTTGTGCGCTCTTCACGATCACAACGTTTCTGGTTGATCTCGCACGTTTTGCCTATCCTGTCCGCCCCATATTGTATATGGCAATGTGCTATCTCATGATTTCTGTTGTTTACATGATCGGTGAGTGTTCCCCTGATGTTTATTTTACTACTAACGCTATCCCGACCCATCGAGTACTTAGCATGGAAGAGATCACCAATACATTGAGGAATTTGAATGACGCTGTTGCAATCAAATCTGTTCCTTTCCGTGTTTAGGCGTCGTGGGAGAGGATAGTTTCGCATGTGGGCCTTATGGCGGTACACCACAGTTACTCGTTGCCCAGGGTGGCGAAGGTACAGCGTGCAGTGCTTTGGCTGTGGCGCACTATTACTTCACCATAGCTAGTAGCGTTTGGTAAGTTGGTAACTTTCACTTCCTCAGTAAAGAATTTTATAGGCTTTATTTGTATTGTTTGTATAATTCGTGCCAGTGTTGCCGGGAAAGGCGTTGGTTGATGCAGTTTCCTGCAACAAAGGCTCAGAGGCAATCCTTCTGATTAAATCGTGAGGCAAATAGCTGGCGTAGAGTTGATTACAGTTGATCACCTATACTGTTCAATCTTTCCACCCAGTTTAAGGAAATATTGCAATTCAAGATTTTATCTCCGTAAACATTCCTCCCGCGATTCGTTGAATTTCTTATATCGGGGCCGTGAGGCTGAGGCACGCGCAGTGTTCCAAAAAAAGGGTGACGAGGAGCGAAGATGTGGCGCAGCTTGATACTGATTTTATTTGTGAGAAAAAGTCTTCGACTTTCCCTTAGAGTCAACTCATTCAAAGCGAGCATAGGGTTACTTGTCTCAAATTTGGTACGATATTTGAACTCCCTTCATATTATAGTTACATGTCAGTGAAAAAGTCCGATTGTCTACACGGTCAAAAGCTGCCATTCTACGTTCGTAATAATTTCCATATTTTCAGGTGGGTCGTGTTGTGTCTAGCATGGTTTCTGGCCGCGAATCGTAAGTGGGGCGCAGAATCCATCGCCGGCTTAGCCCCGTACCTACACGCGGCATGTTGGGGTATACCCGCACTTCTGTCGGTCATAGTGTTAGTGACAAACTCAATCGATGGCGATATTTTTACCGGTGAGTTTTTGGGCATATTGTCTAGGTTTTTACTCGATCTTGGTGTCATCAATAAATAAATGTGACACGAGAAGGCGCTGCGCTTTTTGGTATTGGAGATAGGATCTTCTTTTCTCCGAACAATATTCGAAAGGCCTAGAAATGGAATAGATGTTGTGCAAAGCTAAAGTGCAGCCAAGGGAAAAACAAGAAGAATGTCTTATTGATTGGTGATGCTTCGAAGTTTAACTCCTTCAAGCGGTGTTTTGGTTGAGAACAGGATATAAAGGACGTATTAGGGACACATGAAAGTAATTTTTGGTTTTTCTTGAATCTAGTTCACTTTCCAAATACAATGCTTCGTTTAAAGGAATTTGTTCTGTGGGAAATTTGCAGCCGAAGGCTATGCTCTATTACTTATTCCTGCCGCTTACTGGATGTATCAGTAAGTTATTCCTTCGAATGATTTATATTCACAGTAATGTGACTTTTGAACCTCGCCTCGTCAGCGGTTGCCACTGATCCTTCGTTTTCAGTTATTGGACTTTTTCTGCTCGCCTGCGGCATTTGTTCCATGATGCGCATTCGCACGTACATTAAGTTGCAACATGCAGATGTGGATAAAAATATACGAAAATTAGAGAAATTAATGTTTAGGTAAGTTGTTATCATTTGAGGAACGCTACAATTTGAGTCTAGGAGTTATGGGTGTTTGTTTAGGGTTAGCGGTTTTGCCGTCATGTACGTGTTACCCACCGCAGCCAGCGCTGCCGTTCTGTGTTATCAAGCGATTCAAATGCCACTTTGGATAGACAGTAAGCCTGTTTCTTGTCCAACGGTTTTGAGTTCCGACTTTTTCTAGAGTTACATAAAGTGCTTGGAGAGCAGGTTTCTGCAGCTATAAAGTCACAATGAAAGGCAATGCTCAAAGAAAAGTAGGAAAGAGTTTAAGTGCTATTGTTTTGTCTTCTCTTATTATACCGGAAACTGAATGTTAGTTGAAGTATGTAGAGAAGCACAATATTCTTTCCGTTTAGTCTCGCACAGATTTGTCCTTTTGCCATAATTCTCTTCATTAAGGTCTAGTAAGGATACGTCTCGAGAAAAGACTGATTACAGTTTTGCTAGTGAAAAGATGACAACTCTATATGATCCCTACCGAATTTTTCGCTCACGAAGAATATCATCTCTCTTTGACCAGTTTCCCAGTGGCAACTCGGTCTCGACGTCTGACCTTCTGCATTCAGCTCTGTACACACTTCGATGCCTTCATCCCGATCGTGTCAAGTTTGGTTTTTCGATGCCACGAACGAGCTGCAGTCAGCGAATGGATGCTATTTCTCCAGGACCGGAATTAGTACTTATATTCATAAAGTGAGCCTTTCGCTCGGAAAGTACATTGTGTTTTGCTGTTTGCTCCGTAATCAATCAGCCACATCTTTCAAGATGCCGACTTGTAGGAAAAGTGTGCTATTTTTCGACTCTCCCTTTATTTTCTGATCGTTTGCCTACACAGGTACCTCTGCCAACTGATCGTAGGCATCACATGCGCTGTTTGGATTTGTAGTGCGAAAACAGTGGCTAGCTATCAGAAGGCATATGCCAGGATCATTCTTCAACGTGCTGCTGTGGCGACGGACGAGCATTGAAAGCTCGATTCATGACCAGCAGATGAGGCAAAGGCGAGGCCGTTTGAAAGATTGTGCCCTGTATTTAGTTTACAATAGCGGTTTCCATTTTGCTGCTCTGTTTTCTGGTGTATTTCGCATTTTCGAATGGTCTCCGCAGTTCGCCGATTTGGCATTTTGGCTATAAGCATAATGTTTGTCTATATTAGCTCTAGTAGTTTCCGATATTGCCTTTTCAGTTCTCTTATTGCACCAATATTTGCACTTTTCTANACTTTTCTAACTTTCAACTTTCTGATCGTCCTTTTTTTCTAGTGGCGGGCTGTTTGTCGGTTAACACTGCCTGCGGAAACGCCACATCGGCTGCGATGGTGTGGTTGCAGTGGCGGCGGCAAGTTTCTTCTCTACTTGACACAAGCTTCTTTGCTATTGACGTACGGCTGTCTGCCGTTGAGCCATCTGCTGTTGGTGATAGGGGTTTGAGCAAAGATGAGGGAGAGTCTGGGAAGGTAGAAACAGTTTCTGTGAGGAAGGGCGGGTAGGTTCTTGGAGTTCCTAAAAACTTCGCTGGCTTATTTTCATTCCGCTATAGGGAGTTTGTCCTTTATGCAAAGGTTGGTAATCTTCTAGTCGCATTGCAAATTTCTTAGGACTTTTGCCGAGATGGGAGGCATGATAGTGTCGTGCGGCGCGCCATCCACCTTTGTCACCCGCCGGCGAAAGTGTCTATGTGAGCGCAGCAGGGTTTCTGAACTCCTCGGGGACGAGCAAGAAGAGACTCGTCATAAGTTGGACCAGCGGCGTGATGAATTGGCTTCCCACATGCTGCGAGTGCGCTGGCGCGATTCCTCGTGTAGACAACTCAACGGAAAAATAGGGGATCATCAATGAGGGGTGCAACCCGCCATCGCTATGCTAGTTAGATTTCGTTGTTTGCTCGTTTGCTTCGAAGTCCTATTTTTTCCTTTATCCTTTTCCTTTTCACAATTTCCTTTTCTTTTTTGCACCTGCTATTTTAAGCCATCTTAGGTGTTATCGATCACTTTATTTTGTTTTTGTACTAGTTTCAAAAATGTTATCTCACTCGTTTCTAACTTGCCTCCCATTATCTCGCTTATAATGCAATTCATTTAAAATATACGTGTGCCGTTCCGCTTTTACAGTGTCTTGTTCGCTCCACCACAGTCGTCGCAGCGCGCCGCGACGCATGTGTGTGTAAGTTTTATGCGCGTTTCATAGTTGTGTATGTTGTTCTATTCATTGTATATTAGTTGAATTTGATTCTTCTGTTATACTAGTGTCAGTTTGTAGAAGGGCCAGTGTGATTTTTGCCATGTCATGCATTTCCATGTCGCCGTTTACAAGGTATTAACAATTTCCTCAAACAAGGTAGCTTTTTGTGCTCAAGTACATTGTATTTTTCAAGGTCGTGCTAAAATTTCTACGCTTTCTAAATATTGAGGCAGTTTACGTCGTCGTTAGGATTTTGAAGAAGATTTGCGCTAGATTCAACGTGGGCGCTGATGAGCGGAAGTTGCCTGAATAATTAGTTTTCATGGTCATTTGTCGTGTGTGCATGTTAAATTTGTGCGTTTATTGCCCAATGATTGATACAAGGTGTCCCGTACACAGGGTTTTCCTACTTGTTGTATTCAAACTGTGAAATGAAGTAGTGTGATTCATGTGTTTTACAGAGCAAGCATTCTTGTTTTAGAACACCTTTGGTTACCTTAACTTAGAGTTTATTGAGTAACGTGCGATTCTTATAAGAGGCTAGAATAAACCACCCCGAAATGAGGGAAATGATGACTGAATGGTTTTTTGCTCCAATTGTGTTTAATTTGGGTTCTCCTCACACGTTGCAGAGGGGGTTCCATAGCCTGAGAAAAACCATTCAGGAATAATCGCTATGTAACGCAATTTTGCTCAAGTTTGATCCGTTGAGTCGTTCGTTAAGACTGCCATTCATCAAAGGAGTCTTAGGATTTTTGGTGAGTCTCTTAAGTCGAGCTTACGTTGATCACCTTTCATACACGACAGATTCAGAACAAGTATGTTGTATGTAAAATCAAAACAAAGTCAATTCTAGAGTTGGCCCAAGGCTATTGAGGGTTTATTGTTTCTGAGTCGAAATTTTCATTAATCAATTAAAAAGATGGCAGGAAGTATGTGAGGAGAGTTGCAGAATTTTTTAAACAGTTGTTGGAATTAAAGTGAATTGATTGATATCCCTCATGTTCCCTTCTTTGTTTTCACCAGGTTGTGCAAGGGCTAGAAGTTGAAGCATTTGGAAAAGTACTCGTCTTTTCCCAAGGTGGTGGCATTCATTAATAGTGTAGATGAATGGAAGCGTATTCGGATTCATCTTAAAAAGGTGTTTCTCTGGACGAACTCAAATAAGCACTTTATAAGATAAACATGGATAGTGAGTTCAAACTTTTCAGTGCACAGCGTTTCGTCATTTCAGGGCAGCAAACCCATTTGAGAAGTTTTCAGTTTACCCAGGGTTTGAAGGAACTACTCATAATTCCTTCCATAGTTTTTATGCTCATAACAATAATTATTTTTCCGTAGTTAAGCTCGGCTTAATGGAATTTTGCTTAATTTGCGCAAAATTGTACCTAGAACCATGACTGATCTGGCAACCCTAGCATCTTTTAACCACAAAAGCCTTAGTTTCTAGTACTCTCCCACCCGGTGTCCTGTCCATCCGAGCCTCACCCTCCCCCCTCAAAACCAATTTCTTTTTTTTNTTTTTTTTGACAAACTGATTCATCTTTCTCGCCGATGCGTTTTTGTGCGATGAATTTTGTAGCTTCATTTAGACCCCAGATCTTCATTTTCATTTTTGACCTTGAAATCGTTCAGGCGTCACTTTTATTTCCGAAAAATGCCGACACACTCATATTAAAAACATAAGAAAAAACATAAAACCGTCTCGTTGCGTTATGTAAATATGTAAATACTAAAAAGAGTTGTAGCCAGTTGGAGATCTACCGTATAATCACCATGTCCTTCGAGTACAGCACATCTACTGCTTGAAAATGAGATTTTGAAAACTAGGCGAGACCATATAAATACATACACATAAGGAATCTCAAAACGAAATGCAATAGGGCAAAGTGATCAACAATTCAGCAAAAATCGAAGCAACGTGCTGATAACTTGTTCCACAGGAGCACATGTTTTTTTAGGCGAAATATCCAAGATTTTTCATTACGCAACCAGAACCTACCGTTCCGCTACGGATCAATTATAGTTATCCCTCCTCAAAAAAGTAGCTCAAGTTTACATAGCTAGGAGCCCGCCTATTCTCCGATTTCTACCATCGTTTATATCCATACAAGAATAGTACATTTCTAGACCTGGGAAGCAGGGTCATAAGGTCCGGGAGGGGAACCAGGGTCGATGTAAAAATTAGGGAATCAAAATCCTCTTATATAGGAAACTTCAGGATAGTTGCGCAGTGCTAGGGGCAGAACCTTAGGAACTGCGTTTTAGTGGGTAGTTGGACGGAACGGTAGGTTCTAGTTGCATATGTGGAGGCTGCTATATTTCAAAACGATTAATTATTTATCTACAAAGGCCTAAACTCAGTGACTAAAATTCGATGAGAAAGAATTTCGCGCTTCCCGTGGCCATGTCAAAAACAGATATTTTGACGATGTTCCTTGGTTAATGTTTATTTTAAAAAAATGAAAGATTAGTAGTTTCGTACCAGTTTATACTCATTTTTTGACAGTTTTTATATGCTTTGGTGTACTTCTGAAGTGAACACACCTTCAATGCACCACAAAAAGTTGTAACTTGAATTTCTTTTCTGTAAAATGTTGATCGATTGGTTTACTATGCTTTTCTAAGCACTAAAGAATTTTAATTGCAGCTGGGACTCGATTTTCTTATGAAAATGATTAGAACGAACTTAGAACTGCTCAAATACAACGGGATTATTTTGACTTTGATTGGTTTCGAGTACAAACTAGAAATGAACGGGTACTACATTTGGATAATTGGACCTTTACATGTTTCACAATAGTTAGGCTGCCCACGAGCGGATGAATGGGTGAGCCAGACGTTGTCGATCCATCTTCGTCCAGCGGCCGACTATTGCCTGCTGTTCAACTGCCGCTATGGCTTCGAAATTTTCAGCTGACATTGAGCACTGGTGGACACGCAAAAGCTGATGGGTGGATGCTTCTCGTATGTCGGCGAAATGAAAGCAGTCAGTAGTAGAAATCATGGAAGTCTTTTAGAATGCTCTTCGATAGGCAACATGCAAAACAGACTCCGACGACTTGAAGACCGGCCAGTACAGCCGAAGCACTGCCGACAAGGGCCGCATTGATCAGGATCCAGTCTGGAAAAACATTTTTTCAATAGATCACTTGATCACCTCACTGCTCAGTACAGTTAATTCGATCAATTTGAACTCGGTAGGCGGAGGTGGTGTAGTGGCAAGTAGTGCGCTATCACGCACACACGGTCCGGAGATCGACTTCCGGTCGATACTACTACACGCTACCAAGTTTACGATCCCTCCGTAGTCGGTTAGCCCGCTCATCGACTGGCCTCGCAATTAATTTTATAGAACTTAAACGCATATGAAAACTCCACTACAATTTTGAATGCAAGTTGAATGCAGGGCGCATTCTAGGAGCAGGATTGATTAAGGCTAAGTACCGTGTGTGTGTGATACCGTGGCGGATTGTGAGACTACAGAATTTGATGAGTTCAATTAATCTCCATCTTAGAATTTTTTCAAGCTTCATTCAAGACTTGGGGCCTTATTTTCATGAGGTAGTGCCATCGGACAAAATTCAATTTGGTATTTTTCGGGTCGGGACATTGCAAGAAAGTTTAGCCCTGAAAGCGCGCGCTGATGAAAGTCGTTATTAGATGAGGACGAGGCTAAAAACACGAGTTGACTAGTTGGGGGCGAGTACCTTAGTTCGCCGGGATGTGAACGGAGTGGGAACCATTCACGTGGTGAATATTTATTTTCCCGTCTAATTCTATTTTATGATTCTATTGACTGTTTTATGTCAGAGTGATGCTATGGTTCGGAATCAACCCCAGAGTGAGGGTGCAGTGTGAAAAAGGATTCGTCGTACCTTATAGGTTCAAGTTGGACAGTTGTACAAGCGTTTACCCTTTTGGGTATGCGAAGTCGTATGTTCAGTTCTGAAGCCTCCAGGGAAGCGCAAGCATCCCGATGATGTATTAGAAACGCCATCACTGTACTATTCAAATCGGCGCTGGAGAGGAATGCGTGGCTCATCCATTTCAGAGTCTTTATTGATTTCCTATACAGTGGTCGGTAGTCACCACTGTCAGAGGCAGCTTTTCCTAATGACCACCTCTATGAGAACTTAATTCGGTGATAAAATCTGAACGGTCCCGTTTTCCGATCGTAGTGACCTCATCGCTATCGCTCATTAGGGACGACATATGTGGACGGTCATCAATCAACTTTTGACATTGAATGAGTAAATATAGATGGGGGCCCAGGAAACAAGGAACCACCAGCCTCTCCATTGTAGGGTCCACTCGATTAGGCCGTGAATTGTTCAATTTTGTCTATCTCCGCCCTTTCGCCTCGTCTTCTTTTAGAAGGATGGTAACACATAAGAAACTTAGTTACGTAGTAAGACGGATCCGGAAGGTTGTTGGGTGGTGCTGGATCGATCATTTTTCCTAGAAGCTGGAGGAGAAATCGTGGGGGGAGGGGGGGAAGGGAGGTACAAGCCTATAAAACAAGTTCTGCTATGCGTCCATGCGTTTGGTAATTGAAATTATCACAACTCAGTCCACATTTCGTAAGAAACGACTCACTTTCCACTTTGTCCATACATCCACTTGAATGAAGTGGTGCGAGTTCTTTGGCACAGCCGGTCACCGGTTCGATGCAGCAGGAATCAGGGATTGCTCCCAAAGCTGACCAATCGCTTGAATTAGCCACACCACAGCATGACAACGTCTGGAACGGGGTAAACTGTCTATCTCTAAAGAATGCAGTTAGATGGACTTTGGGGTGAGCTACAGTAAGACTCAATTGTATAATATCTATCGCACTTGCTACTAATGAGTCCTATGAGTGCTAAGAGAGCAGAAGATTGAACATTAATGTACTTATTGAGAGCAATTAGTGTTGCCTACATATTCCGGGTGTAACCCGGACATGCATGGACCGAGCCATGACTGATGACTGTGACTCACTTGTTGTGTCTGGTCCCATGCCATTTGAACGCCACTACTGCGATTATAACGTGAGAGGCCCATCTGAAACATACATAGAGATCGTCCTGTGATTAGCATGAAAAATCGCCCTCCTTTGTCTCCTAAGGGTGGCACTGACGAAGGCACCGATCGGAAATTGCCGGAAAGCACTCAAGGGGTGTTCACGAGTGATCTGGCTTCTGATGATATTGAGTAAGTTTTGCTTTGACAATAAATGGAAATGTATTAGACTGAGACTTGGAAACGGCTTATAAGGGTTCATTATCACCCAGACTAATCCTCTGGTGTATAATAAATTTGGAAATTTTTACAACGAGGGTGTTCCCGATCTATAGGATTCCATCGTCTTCAGTCACTCCATTCCGAAGAAAACTTGCCTGTAATTGGGTTGACAGTCCAGTCCTCAGGTCTTCATGCAATGCGTAGGCTGTGATCACTGCTGCTGTTTCGATCATCTGAACTTCTATTTGATCATCTCTCTCATAATAATACTGTGTCCCAATGTCTGATTTAAATATAGTAATCATTTTGTGAGTATCAATGGATGTAACCCAGTAACATTCTCTTTATCTACATGGAGTTTGAATGAATCGAATCCCAGACACGCGTGGAAAAGTTTGGAAATCGTGAGGAAATGGGACACGGGAGGGGTTAACTTGAGCGAGTTACTGTGGGGAGAGAAGAAAGTATTCCTCCCTGTTCGTTCATATTCCCCAGAATAGGTGGGAAGATGGTCTTGGCTCCTTTCTCCTTCTCTTTTACTATACTCTCTCATTTCTTTCTTTCTCTCCCTTACTTTTTCTCTTCTCCCCTTCTGTCATTTTCTCTCTTTCTCGCTCTCCTAAATAGAAATATGAAGTAATGAGTGCTTATTACAAGTTTCTTGCTGAATTTCTGTAACTTAATTAGTTAAACCAATTAATTAAATTACTATTCATTTATCCGATCGAGTTCATACATTTTAGTTGATACTGGTTGAAAATATGGCACTTACGATAACTAATGCTAACAATACGGCGAAAGATACGGTAAGACAGTAGTTTTCTCGGATTGCACCGCAACATCCAAGAAATCCCAACAGAGTACAAAGCGATCCGAATGCCAGCAATATTACCGGCGTTGCTAACCTGTAAATAGTAATTTTGTTTCATTTTATGACTATGTAGTACATGTTGTATTTACGAATTTTCTTCATACTTCCTGAACCCTTCTCTTAAAGAATCCAGAGTTGCCCACAATACGAAGTTTTTGCGAAACGGTATAGAAAATATCCGAATTTCATACGAGCAATTAATTTCTTGGAGGTTTTCCCGCGTGTGATGGAATTCCTAGCCATAATAACTTTGAGTTAGCTGGGCTTCTTATATTTTCGATGAAAATGAGCGATACAATGTTCGCAAATTGTAATGTGTAGAAATAAGGCCCCATCGGATACCAGTTTGCTTGGTTTTGCGTATAAATGGGATGCATGGCGCATTACTCCTTTAAGAACTATTCAGAAAAGAACTTGAAGGAGGAATTCTGAAACGTGTGGAGAGGGTGTTGTTCTACTCACGATCGATATTCAATCATTAGGCAGGAGCAGTATGTTGTTCTAGTCAGATCCCCTGCATTATCCCCGCTTTGGAAAATGTGGCCATCTAGAGCCGGGTTTTTCCTGATTTCAGCAAACTGCAACTTTGTTGCAGCCGGCTAGTCTTGTTTCTTTTTGGAAGAGCATAATATGTCAGTCCTATGACTGGACGTTTGAGAAGCTTCTCCATAGTGTCTCACATCTCAAAATGACATGCATCTGTGAAGTATTCTAAAATTTTCACCGAACGTTTAAGAGGATGGCTTTTTTCCTAGTTTGGGGCAATGAGCAAACCTTGCCCTTTGGTCGGTTTAATTCAAAGACATCGAGAAAAGTTACTTTGCAGTTTTTTTGAAATGATAAGACTTATTCAAGCTAACAGTTTTGAGAGTTCCGTTCACTTGAGAAAAAAGAACTTTGAATTTCTTTCTCAATCGATCGCATATGGGCCTGAATAGGCTTTGNTTATCACACTCAGTGAGACCAGAATCGCACGAGCTAATGCACCATTAAAAAAATTTGCTAGATGGAGA